TTAGATCCCCTGTCCTTTATCTTTGTGTCATTTACTTTACATTATTACTCCAAGTACGCAGAAAGCTACACCTCTGCTAAAAGGCCCAGCCCTTACTTTTTCACCAGTTACACCTAAATTCACTTTAAGTCACAAGTTTTATTTATGAATTAAATATCAGTTGTTTATGTGCTTCTCAACTGATCATATTCCAAATATAGGTTTTACTAATATATTTCCAAACACATATTTAAAAGCTAGAACAGCACCATATATGTCTGGATATGTTTCCAAAACTGTCAGAATTATGTCAAAATATGGTTGTGCCGTGCTAGAGCTTCATCATCTCAAATGTGCATTTATTATATACTTCTAAACAAAATATTTCACATACTTAAAGGGACAGTTCACCCCAAATCAAAAATATGATTTAATTTTTTTTTTTTTTTTTTTTTTTAACCTGTAGTGCTGTTTATCAGTCTCGATTGTTTTGGTGTGAGTTGCCGAGTGTTGGAGATATCGGCAGTAGAGATGTCTGCCTTCTCTCCAACACAATGGAACTAGATGGCACTCAGCTTGAGGTGCTCAATGTGCCAAAAAAACCTTCTGCTTGCGAGCACTTTTGTTAGAATAGCCCGTTTTTACTGTTTGTTCCTGCACCAAACACTCACCAAAAGTGATGACAATATTCAGGAAAAAGCATGGCATAAATTGTTTATCTTAAGTCTGGTTTTATTTGGCCGACCAACACAATTTAAAACTGGTATATAGTTGAAGTTCGCACTTTGGACACGAGTTTAAATGGAGACTCAGCGAGGCTACATCTTGCTGCTACGTCATCTTAAATCAGTCATATGATTTGGACGCACTGGCACGTCTGTGGACTCCAGAGGGTTAATCAACTATCAAAACTGTTGGTGATTCATTTTGTTTCGATTGTTTCATTGATTAACCCACTAATTGTTGCAGCTCTACTTTCAATACACGAGATCCATTTGGAAAATATCACATTAAATTTCAGATCAGTTTTTCATGTTAACAAGCCACCGGTCTGTATTAAAACATTGCTGTAAGAAGTGCAGCTGTCAGCAGCTGATTCCATTTTATAGCCGTCAGTGAGTCCATCAGTCAGCATGTGGGATGCTAAGTAAAGAGTTAAGGATTAGTATGTTAAGTTATGTAATGGAGCGGGCCCTGGGAATAATGTCTAGATTTGTGACTTGTGAGCGACTCCAGCCACATTCCCTCATGTCATTCCACAGACCTGCATGTTCCATAAACTGCAGCCGCCACAATGGACAGGAACGCACATAGTTAGCATGAGTCACCTGCCTCTGCCGTTTGTTGTGGAACACTGTTAGACTTTCACAATCCTGAACGCATGTCTACGGTAGATTGTCATTTCCTTCGTTAGATGCAGAAAACGGTGTGTATTTTTATTCAGGAATAACATTCATGTATTATACTTAAATGCTGCCAGTGAAGAATGATTCACTCAAGTGGGGGACGAGAGATGTGAGCGATGAGGTCCCAGCAGATTTGTTTCTCCAAACTACTCATTCCTTTTCCTCCTCAGGAATTTCACTTCCAGCACATCTAGGTTTACATTCAAGTGCTTCTGTTTAGCTGAATACTACCTCAAAGACACATCATGAATTACTTTGGTGTTTGCTGATGTCACTGTTGGTGGTCAGATGATACGCCGAGGCCAACGGGAGTTTGGGGACCACCTCAATAATGCATTCCTCAGAGGCCCTTCTGACAGGTGATCTCTCCACAGAGGGCTGTGCTCCATAACCCCAGTATTTGTGTCATAACCACAAGCTCTCTGTGTGTGTCACAGTTATAGATTTAGAAAGCTCTGTCCACTGACGTGCTGTCGCTGTGTCCCCCAGCACCTGTCTCTGCTGTCCCAAACACCTATAGCCATGGATGCAAGCCCCCTCCCACAATAAACACAAGTGACATTCTCATTTCAGAGGGAAGACAAAGGAAACTTCTGTAACCTCACATCACTCACCATTAATAACTATGTTTTGGAAGGCTTAGAAAAGGTAGATCTGGGGCACTTGGAACAGTGTAAACTACTCTCTGGACAAGTTATAATACCCTGAACAAAAATTTAAATGCAACAATTTTACATTCAGATTAAAGTTAAAGATCTAAGATATTTTCATGCACTCAATGGATAAATTTCTCACAAATTTTGGTCACAGGTTTGTTAAAATCAGTGTTGGTGCACACTTCTCCTTTTCCAAGATCATCCATCCACCTGACAGGTGTCGCATATCAAAATACTGATTAAACAGCGTCATTACGACACAGGTGTGCCTCCGGATGGTCACAATGAAAGGACACAAACGTGCAGTTTGATCACACAACACAATGCCACAGATGCTGCAAGACATTTTGACTCGTCAGTGACAAAAGCACAGGTGTGAATAATGAGATGAACAATGGCTGAATTCCATTTAGTTGCTTTTTTCCTCCAGGTTCCTGGTCTTGTGCATGCTCGCTCACCATCACTCTAATGCCTGGTTCACACTACATGATATCAGCCCGATTCTAGCCTGTCGCAGCGTCGTATGGTCTCAGCATGGATCGTGAACGACACTGAGTGTCATACACGATAATCCATCATTTCATCTCGTGTAGTGTGTCATAGTAGACGACAACGGATGCCACGTCAGGGACGCCTCACAACTTTCCATCAGAGAGTCTAGCATGTTTGATTTTCTTTTTGGCGTTCACGACTGCTCCCGTCACAGCCGTCACTTTGACAAATAGGAACACAGAGCGATCTGCTGCCATAGAAACAGCTGTACGACAACAAAACCCCTGGGGTGTTGTTGTCGTACAGCTGTTTCTATGGCAGCAGATTGCTAAAAAGGGGAAAAATGATGGTGTGAAACAGCAGAGGCACTTTATCAACCCGCTGAGTTAACGTTACTGTCATTAGCATCAAGCTAGCAAAGAATGTTATTTCTTCATAATGGAGAGGGACATAAAGTAAGAAAATTTAAAAAATAGTGGCTTTTACTCACCACAACTGCAGAATGTAACCAGCTTCATTTGAAACAGACTACATTATAAACGGGCCGTTATTTATTATTCCCTCTGTGTTTTTATATTTTTACTTTTTATCCAATTCTGTTTGCCTTGATAAAGGCAATGTATCGTGCCATCATTTCAAAATCAACACTTCCTTTATCTGTTTCAAATTAAAAGCCCCATATAACCTCGGCTGAGAGAATCCCTTCATTTTCTAAATAGGCTTTTATTGTGAAACACTTGCAGGAACTTGTTGTGGGGGATTCAGTATCTTGCATTTTGGCGTACAGTACTTCAAATGTAGCTCCTCCCATCTGGTGACACTTTTCACGTTACTACAGTTACATTTCAGCTGGCACATGAACAGACACAGTGACGGAAATAATAGTAATAATAATAATAAAAATAGGACAAGAATAACCCGATGACATCACACACGCAGTGACAGACGACTGGGGATGATTGGTGTGGACCATCATGTAGTCCGTCATGTTTGTCGGCCAAGTCACGGTCCGATTTTATGTCTCCACAATCGCCTAATGTGACGTAGTGACTGTCAGAACATAGAAATGTCATGTAATGTGAAGCAGGCATAACTGGAACACCTGAATAGAACAGAGCCATCATCCGTCTTATATGTACCACCTGTGCTTTTCCTACTATGACAAGTCAAAGTGTCTGCTGTGAGTCAGGCCTGTTGGCATGCTGACTGCAGATATTCCAACAGAGCTGTTGCCTGTGAACTGAATGTTCATTTCACCACCATAAACCATCTCTAATGTTGTTTACATGAATTTGGCAGTACATCCAACAGGCATCACAACCATAGACCATGTCTAACCACACCGGCCCAGGACAGCTAATGCAACTACTGGTTTGAATGTCCGCACAAACCGTCAGATACCGACTCAGGGAAGCTTATCTGCGTTCTCATCATCCTCAGCAGGTTCTTGACCATAGGTCTTGACGTGACAGCAGTTCGTCATTTTAACTGACCTAAGGAGGCAACTGCTCACCTTCAATGGCATCCAGCAGTTTGGAGAAGTGTCCTCTTTACAGATAAATCCAAATTTTGTGTGCCCCATGGTGGGGTGGGTTTATATGGGCTGGCACAAGCGACAGACAACAAACACATGCATTTTATTATCGACAATTTGTGACCAAAAAATATGCATTTCTGTGAAATCCTATTACATGTCTTTTTTCCCCTCAAGATAAAACTGCACACTTTAGATTGGCTTTCATTGTGACCATCCAAAGGCACACCTGTGTAGTAATGATGCAGTTTAATCAGGATCTCGATATGTCACACCTGTCAGGTGGATGGATGATCTTGGAAAAGAAGTGCTCACTGACATGGGTTTTAAAAAATTGCGACCCGAATTTGAGAGAAAAAGTCTTCTGTGTGCATAGAAATGTCTTAGATCTCTTAAACCTGTGAAAAATAGGGACAGTGTTTAAGTTATTGTTAAGTATATGTTTTTGGAAGGCTTAAAAAGTAGATCTGGGGCACTTTGATCTTTATAAACGACTCCCTGGGTCTTTTATAATAGTTCTGGAGAATTTAGGTGCATATGCACAAGCAGCAGTTCGTATTAAAGTTACCAGTTCTCTCAGAAATGTCAATCTTCCGGGAAAGCTGCATGAAAAAGAAAATCACCGTGTGGTCATCCTCTCACCGTGCACCCCTCTCTGATTTACCCATCCCGTCCTCGCCTCTCTCCAACGCTCCTCTGTCTCCACAGAGGGAGCTTTTCATCTTTGTCAGCGTTTACAACCCAGATGCAAACATCGGCAAGCGTTTATTTGGCCTCTCTACACACTTTCGGAGTTGGTCGTCCGCGATTTGTTGACATCATACTGATGGTCTTCACTTCTGCGCGCTCCACCCCGCCTGCCACCGGAGCAGAGGAGCGCTGGACCGGAGGGGCGCACAAGTAGGGGAGAGCAGGCTGATGTTAGCGACTGTGGCGAGTCTCACTCTGCCAATACAAACTATAGAAACATCCAAGACCAACTTCACGACAGGCTGTAGATGGATATAGTTGTTTTGGACACAGATCCACTGCAAGAGCATTGCGCTCGCTGGCTTAGCAGTGATTCCTTAGTGATTTCTGATTGCACGTTTCAAGTGTATTTATGGTAATAGATGCTTCACTTGATTAAGGTCAGTTTGGGCTGTTTGTGCAAAGCGATGGCAGGTCTTTGACTGTGTTGTTGGAGTTGGTGAACGTTTTATTACTTCTCTGCACCCCGCTGATTACTTCTCACATCTGACTCAACAATGATCGCTGAAGGTCACGTTTCACCGCGACGCACTTGTCCAAGTATTGTGCATCTTTTCTTTAGCGACCGTGATTTGATTTACAGATAACTTCTAAATCTTAACCAAGCAAACCGAGACTGAATCAAAGCAGGAATGATATTTACTCATGTGTTTTGACCGGTAGACTAGTTTTAGTCCACTTTACAGGCGAGAGAAACCGGACTATGAGTTGGTTAAAACTTTGCTGTGCGCTCCTGCGGATGATCCAGTGAAAAGTGTCAAATCATATGTAGTGTAATCGTGCCAGCCTGAAGATGTTAGGAAGTCCGTCAAATAACGGCGGCATTAGGATGCTGGTGCCCCCGGCTCCGAACGACGACAGGCGAGTAGAGTTTGTGGCTCTCACCGCTGTTCACACGGAGAGGAGCGAGCCGTCCACCCCGGAGCGCGGGCACCCGTCTCACCGCACGGGTCTGCTGGGCACCCCGCTGCCCGGGCCGCCTGGACCTCGGGCCAACTCTTCCGCTTCAAGCAAACGCTTCAGGAAGTTGCAAAACTGCCTGTACAACGTGCTGGAAAGACCAAGAGGATGGGCATTCATCTACCATGCGTTCATGTAAGTGTTTGTTTTTATCGTGACCAAATTATGCACAGTTAAAATTCCACATTTTTTTTCCCCAATAACAACTTTTTAAAGTGTCCTAAAGTTAGTGAGTGGAGCTACACGCTGCGAGAAAGGCTACTTTGACTTGTTTCCAATCATGTGTTTTGATCAGTATATATGCCAGCAGTCATTTGATAAATTTTCCAATTAACCAAGCAGAGTTGCTTATGCGGCAATTAGCGCGATCACATGCCATACATCATCACAACACGGGGTCCCCTGTTCAATTTCCTCTTGTCTCTGTCTGATTAAATCATCACGAGGATCCTGGATGTTAAATTGAATTTGTCCAAAACCGCAGGGAGTAATTGGCATTTTCAAAAATCAAAATTCCCTTGTAAACATTTTGATGCCTGCTGATTGCCATACTTTGAAATGACTCACTTAATATTTCCTGCAAGTTGGCATGTTTGACTAATGAGTTTAAAATGGTGGAGGTGTGAATGATGCACTGGAAAGGTTTGTAATGACAGGAAGTGACAATTAACATCAGTTTTCTCATGTGTGTGGGGGTGTAAGTGTGGTTACAACTTTATTTAGACAGGACTTGTTTGTTTCAGCATTTTCTGACAAGTGAAGTATAATAATAATGCATTAAAGGAACACTTTACCCACAAAATGACCATTTGTATATCACCTAGTCATGCTGCGTTACCTTGATTTCATGGAGAAAACTTTGTGTTTCTCGCATGTGTCCAATCAAAATGAGTAACATTTTAATTTATGGATTGGGGACCACGTTTAACACCAGCAAAACTATGTGAAAACATCTGTTTACGAACTCTCACACAATGCGTGCAGTCATTTATCCAATTGTATGCTCAGTACTTCCCAAACATATGCATGTTTGCAAACTAAATAAAGAAATATTATTGGAGAAGAGAGCACTTTCAGTTTTAAATAGCAAGGTTTCAGTGAATAGGAAGTACTGAGCAGATGACTGGATAAATGAGACTTGGCTTAAACTGCACAAGTTGTGTGAGAGTTTGTAAACAGATGCTTTAATATAGTTTTTCTGTTGTTAGATGTAATCCCGATAAATCAATATGTTCGCCTTTTTCCATTTAGGCATGAGAGAAAAACAAAACTTTCTCCACAAAACCGAGGTAAAACGGCATGACTAATTGATTTACAAATAGTCACTTTGCGGGTGAAGCATTCTTTTAAAGAAGGATTTGAACCTGTTCTGAACCCATTACGTGACAGCTTTTTAACCAGATGAAGAATAATCTCAACAATTAAACACATGCACTGAAGCAACTCCCTCTTATTGTACAAAGTATTCTGTCAGGGCTTTGAAGTGTCCGTGTACCATATGTTCTATACAACATGTAAACACTGGAAAACTATGAGCTCACTGGTAGCAATGCCTGTTCAGCTCAGAACTAATATGTGAAACACACAGCACTTACTCCTCCAATCCAAACTATACTGAATTGTCTTTTAATTAAATATGCACCTGTTTTAGATTCAAATTTAACCTCTTTAATGACTCAAAAAATAATCGGTGTGCTTGGTTTGAATGGTAGGCCTAAGCGTCTCATTAAAAGTCAAAGTTCACGCACTGAATATTTATCGTGTCATTATATGTCTTTTTAAGTGAAGCCCAGGACAGTTGTGCACCAGCAGCTGTCCTCCAGCTGCGTCTGGCACATAGTGGACAGAGCATTATGTGTGGGAGCTCCTTGGACCCGGCTGTGCTTTCCATGTCGTTGTTTAGACAAGTGCAGCAGTCTCCCTGCCAATGCCATCATGTGTTTATAGCAGAGGGAAATCCCACTGCAAAGCTTTTCATACGTGCTCTCATCATGTACCATCGGCACATTAGTGAGTGCAGATCAGCATGTCTCAGTTCGTCCTTCAGCTCTTTCACTTCTCTGTTTCTGTTTCTTCCTTTTCCGCTCCCAGGGGACTACAAACAAACTAATATGTTATTTACCTCTTCCACCCTGTGTGTTTCTCAATAAGAGCGATGGCCTTTGTAGGGTAGTTGCGGATGACATTCTCCATGACATTACTGGGTGTCAGAGTGGATGGCAGCTCTGCCATTGTTGTTATTTCTCTGTCAGAGAGGCAGGGCAGGCGCTCTGAGGTGCCCAGATCATGTTTCAGATGCCACGGCCTCCAAGACGGAGACTTTGGAAGTGAGCCGCCTCTGTGATGGCCTGTTTTATATCACCGTCTCACAGATTGCAGAATGTACCTGAGACTAAAATCTTTTCAAAAATCCCTGTGCTTTGACATGATGCGTGTTGAGTGTGCATATGTCTGGCTGACGGCATCATTCCCATGATACTGCATCACCCTGAGCTGTGCATTTGTTTTGATTAATTACATGTGAGGCCCTCACCATGCTGAGAGCTGTACCATGTGTGAGGGAAATTCATTGTACAACCAAGCTCAATTAAGGCGGCGTTGATCTATTGTAATTAAATTGAGCCATACACTGCTGTGTAGGGCGCTGTGCTAACTTCCCTCGATCCTTTAATTAGTCCTGCATTGTAATGGGGGACGCTGGAACAGATGTGTTGCTTCCAGAGAGCCTCTCGTCACAGGTGTGTGTTAGAGCGCATATGGCAAAAGGGTGAAGTAGCACTCCACTGTAATGTCTCTCCACGGGTACCCGCTTAAATCCCACTACACTCCTCACCCCTCCTTGTTGCCGTCACAGCTGCACAGAAGATGCATCCTCGTAGAGACAGATTTCTCTCCCGGATAAAGGTCTTGGCTAACTTTAACATCCTCTTTCCTGAACGGTTCAGGTTACATTGTTGTAAACTGTTTTACATCTGTATGTCAACTGTCTCCTGTGGACAAGACAGTTCTTCAAACACTCGCTTCTGCAAGTGTAACAGCTGTATGCTAATTCAGAGCTGGCATTGAGTTCTTCCTCCTCTCCTCTCCTCTCCTCTCCTCTCCTCCTTGAAACATGGCAATAGTTGGGTGAACAGACTCAACTAAAACCCTCGTTTATTACACTACCAACAAAAGGACACAGGAACTTGTTAAAAGACAATAGCATTTCTGGACACTTCTTTGGCTCTGTGAAAAAAGAATTCCTCTGCTCAACAGCCCAATCGGTTGCTTAGACGACACTGCCAGTTCTTGCGTTCGTCGAGGCTCTGGTTCAAATGGTGAGTGGGCCGTTTGAAATGTTAAGTGCCGCACGTCTTGTTATGGTCCCTTCACTCACTCACAGTGAAAGCTCAAGACCTCTTTGTCACCTTTGAATCCTTTCTCTTTGTTTCCGCTGCAGTAAAACTACGATGTCAGCAGCAGGGTCGGTCTGGTTGTCTGAGCTGGTTACGTCCGTTAAAGTTTGTGTAAAAACACCAGTGGCCCAGCAAGAAAGTTTCAATCTGTGTAGTTCACACACATACCTCATTGTACTGTGCTTGATGTGCAATGGTATGCGTAAAACAGTATCTGTGGGGTTTTTTTCCCTTTAGTTTCTCATCATAAGAATACAGACATCTGAATGTTTGAGTCGATATGACTGTCAGGGCTGCATGTGTTTCCTTCCTTCTCAACCAGTGCATCTGTCGATAGACATGAGAATACCAAAACGATTTATGTCAGAGACAACTTTTCAACATGGTTAATAAATGATGACCAGGTGTTGTTGTGTTTGTCCCCTGATCCACGTAAGTACCTGACTTTTTCCAAACTCAGTATTAACATTACCTCCAAGATTCACTGAATATAGGTAAGAGGGCTCCTTCCCTTCTAGTTACCAAAATAAGACGGCGAGCAAGCAATGATGCAAATGCAACTGCATTTGTATGAAGGCAGGAAGCTGTTTCTCGTTCTTGACTACTCCAAAAATGGCAGTTAGAGTGTTTAGAGTCATTATATCACCACCTGTTTCTGAAAGTGAATTAAAAACAGAAGTCCAAAAAATGACAGACATGACTGAAACATGTGACCCAGGGAAACTGGGAAATATTTACATCTAGGGTACTTTGGGAATCGGTGTGACCTTTTTAGGGGCTATTGGTAAGGACTGCAACTAGTGATTATTTTTATTATTGATTGTTCTGTTAGATAATTTTCTCGAGTAATTGTTTAGTTTATAAAAAGTGTGAACATAGTGACAACCGCAATATCCTGGAGGATGGGGTGACATACTGAAGTCTTCAATGATTAAAAATGAATTTCAGCGTTCTAGATATATTTTCTGTCCATGCACTATTTGATTAATCATAATCATTTTAGATTAATTGTTGGTTGTGTCATCTGTGCAATCTGTGGTAATATTTGGAGGGATCAGTTTCAGTGTTTCCCCTCACCTTTGACCCCTCACCCACTTGCACCATAGGCAGTGCCACATATAGACCATCACATGAGGCTGCATTTTTGGCCTATAGTTATTCATCCCCACAGGAGGTCCATTGGGCCCGTGGATGTCTAAAATCAGGCTACTGGTCCCTGTTGAGGTCACACTCTGCTGTGCCAACTAATACCAGCACTGTGGAAGCCCAAGAAGCCATGTCATGTCTTGATCTTGGCTTTGGCTGCCATTCTACATCTTAGTCTCTGGCTCGCAGCAGCATTTCACTGGACCCCAGCCTGGATATATAGTAATAGCGCATGTGGGTGGACAGAAAAAGCAGTCAAGACCAAGTGCTGACCACCCAGTGATTGATTGGTTCCAAGGAGGGTGAAAATATAGCGGCCATGTATTATTGATGTCTTACGAAGTAGGAGCAGTGATGTGGAGCAAAATTATAACATGAGGTTTTTAGACCTGAGCTCAGGCCAAATGGTCTGTATTAGTGGGTTAAAGAGAAAGGTCTTTGCAAGTAGATGTTTTTTAAGGGAGCTCTTTGCGGTCCCTCATAAGAGGCTAAGTTAGTACAATTATTTTATCTAGTATATCATGCAGCTGTCTGTTCATTGGTTCCTATCAAGTTAAAGGGAAACTCTCTTACATAGTGGATTTTGTGGCTCGA